TTAGTTAGTCCTCGAGATACTGCTTCCCTTTTACTTGTATTATACCTTTCTATTTGTATTTCTTCTTTTGAGTTCTTATACTAGGGAAACTATACTATATTTACACATGTGTGTCTGGTTTATTTCACTTACAAGTATATGTTCAAGTGGCATCCACTTCAATATCAAGACTTTGAGTTTATCATTCTTAATAGCTGAATAATACGCCATTGTGTAAAAAATACCACATCTTTTTCAACCATTCCTTAGGTTATGGGCATCTTGGTTGTTTCCAAGATTTGGCTATCACAAATTCTGCTGCTATAATCATAGGCACACATATATTTCTATGATAAGATGTTTTCAGATCCTCTGGGAAAATTCCCAGTAGAGGAATAGTTGGTTTAAATGGGATTTCCAGTCCAACTTTTCTAAGGAGTCTCCATACTGATTTCCATAATGATTGCACCAGTCTACATTTCCACCAGCAGTGGAAAAGGCTTCCTTTTTCCCCACAGCCTCTTCAACATTTGTTGTTGGGTGATTTCTTTATGATAACCATCCTTTCTGGGGTGAGATGATATCTCAATGTTGTTTTAATTTGCATTTCGCGAATAGCTAGTGATGTGGAGCATTTTTCATATATTTATTCGCTTCTTTAATTTCTTCCTCTGAGATGTGTGTGTTCATCTCGGATGCCCATTTCTGGACTGGGTCTTTAAATTTTGGGGCCCTAGTGTTTTTTAGTTTTTTATAAATTCTAGATAGCAGACCTTTGTCTGAGTACTTTTTTGTCATGATTTTTTCCAAATTTGTGGGTTGCCTTTTCACTTTGTTGGTAATTTCTTTTGACGTGAAAAAACTTCTCAGTAAGAGCTGGTCCCAGTGGTTAATTCTTTCAACTGTTTCCCATACGATTTGATTTCTGTTCATGAACTCTTTGCCTACCCCTATGTCTTCAAAGGTTCCAAATGCTATTTTATGATAAAGAATCACATGTTTCTTCTGATTTAAATTACATTCACCAAGAGTCTTTTGTAGACTCTACAATGTCTCTGAATATTGAATACCAAGGAACCATGAAAAAGTTGACAAACAAATAAACAATTAAAACATAAAATTGCCAAGAACAAGAATAATTTTTCCCCTCAAGTTTGCTGTTTATTAAATCTAAAGACTGCCTGTGGGATATTTACTTCTTTTTTTTGGTGGTACTAGGAATTGAACTCAGGACCTTGTGCTTGCTAAGCAAGCACTTATTCCACTGAGCTATCTCCCTGGCCCTCCTGCATTTTGTCTTTCAACAACGATAGCAAAAGTGAATATGAAAAAATCTAATGGGTGACACACAAAGTTAAAAAGCTTGGCTGTTCTGAGGAGCTCCTATAAGCACCTGTGAGCAGGGCTGAGACTCCCACTGGGCTGAGCTGATATTGGTCAGGCATCAGGATTGGAAATGATTCATGGTATTGCGGAGCTAAAGATTAATAACTCACATTGTTATTTTCAGGAGTTGGTGATGACACAAGAAGTTGGGGGCCACCTTTTGTGGGCACAGAAAGTACATACTTTCTCAGTGTTAACCGAAATAAGAAAGTAAGGAGATCTCTCTCTCTCTCTCTCTCTCTCTCTCTCTCTCTCT